TAATTAAGAATTTATTATTGACAAAGCATATACTTTTATGCTCTAAAATTTAAAGATAGAAAATAATGTCTCAGGAAATGGTTTTCTTGCAGAATCTTCATATAAAGTTAGAGAAGCAGCAGTATTCAATCTAATTAAGATGTAATCATTTTTGCATGAACCTATAATTTAAGAATTTTGCTAATCACTCTTGAAATAGATATGGACTATCGAAAAAGATGCCAGTGTAAGAAGTATTTTAAAAAATAAAGAGATGATTGAAATGTAGAAAAAACTATTTTCTTAAGATCTTGCAACATTTTCTAATAAATTAAAGTTAGAAATGCAGAAGAGGTTAAAGAGTATAGAACAATTAGACACTTAAGTTTTAATAAGTGATAATTAAGCATTAATGAAGAATTTATGAAGAATTTGAAAATTACTTAGATAATGTTACAGATATGTCATAAAGGATGGATATCAGTCTCATTTTTTTAAGAGAAATTAGTAAAGATCTAAAGTCAATTAAATCTTCAGTTGATTAAATACTTTAAAGTGTTAAAGGAATAGAAGATGATGTAAGAAGGTTAAGTGGTAAAAATTATATTGAATTATTATAAATTAGAAAAGAAAAAATATTGAAATAAAAATAGGAAGCAGAATTAGATTAAGTTCATATCTAGATTGCCAATTAAGAATATGACCCTATAACAGGAAAAAAGAAAGAAAGTATAAATGGAGTATTTACTTCATATTTATTGAAATCAAAATATAATAATTTTTAAGGAGAAATTAATGAATTTTTATGGTGTGAGAGTGAAAGCTAAAAAGATGTTGTGCTACTAAAAGGAAAAGCAGGTTCAGGCAAAAAGCAGAGCATCTAGAAATATAGAAGAATTTCTTTGGTTGAATGACACTATATTTCCTTAATGGATTCCAATTTATGTTTCATTACCATCTTTGAAAGATCCAACGCATAATTTATTAGAATAAGCTTTAGAATCTTAAAATTATAATTTTGATAAGATATAAATTAGAGAATTTAAAGAAGCTTTATTTAATGGAAATCTGAAAGTTATTTTTATTTTAGAGAGTTACGATGAGATGAAATTAGAATGTATTTAATCTAATTTATATTAAACAAATAAATTGGCATAAGATTTAAATCTTCAAATTCCAGGATAAAATGTAAAATTTATCATAACTACAAGAGAAGAAATTTTAACTTCAATTGGATATCAAACATGGTTTTATGGTAAGAGTATTGAAACTTTAAAAGAAGTGGAAATCCTACCATTTACATAAGAACAAAGCTCAGAATACATGAGGTAATATTGTGAAGTTAGCGTTAAAAGAGCTATCAAAAGATTTTATGAGTTTTTTAAATAATTAAGGGGGTAAACTATATCTATCAATGAATTTAAGTTAATATGGAATCCTTTAGAAGAATATATTAGCACAATAATTAATTAAAAATAAAATTAGGATTTTTTATTCAATAACCAAAAATGTAGATCAAATTATAATAAAACTATAAGCAATTGAATTTTTTAATCATATACGAACAGATTAAATGATCTCATTGAAAAAAGAGCTTCTTAAATTATGGTGTTAATAAAAATTTATAACAGTTATTAAAAATGTGAATATAAATCACTTCATGAGTACTCCATTTATGATGGAATTGATTGTCTATATGCTACCTAAATTGTCTTTGATATTTTCAGAGTCCAAATATTTAAGAGACACCTTAAAAAAAATAATATTTAAAGTTAAAAAAAGAAGATAATTTGTAATGCTAATTAAGAAATTATTATAAGTCTTACAAATAATCTACAGAAATTTAGTTAGAAACCTTGGATATCATTGAATTATAATAATAATAGGTAGAATCATAAAATTTTTTAGTATAATTTTAGGCTTTAGAAAATGAATTAGATAATTAACATTTTTTTGAAAATTTTTCAATGGATCATTCTATTGAATTTTATGGAATTAATAAAATAATTACAAGACAAGTATTTAATGTAACGAAAGATGCAAATTTTATTGTTGGAGCATTTAAGCTTAATTAATTTACTGCATATGACTTTTATGAAACATTTGTATCATTTTACCATATTCGACAACTTTAAAATTAGAAGGAATTAGGGAAAACTTTTAATTATGAAACAACTTTAAATGATTTGCAAGATTTTTCTTTATATTTAGCTCTTGATATGACTACAAATTAACTTACCTAAGTAAATTATAAATAAAAAGGAAAATTATAGTTAGCACTACTTTGATGAAAATTAATCTAATTCTGAATATTGTAATTTCCTAAAAAAATGTATTTTACTAAGCTCAAAAGGAAGCATATATACTTTTAATCATAAATCAATCTAGGAATTTTTTGTAGCTAAATATATTTTAAATTTACTTTAAGCAATGTTTCAAGAATAAGATGAATCGATTGTACGTAGAAATTTTTACAACAGTCGATTTAATGCAAATTAATTTAACATATCTAAAGATCACTATTCAGGTTCAATAGAATTATTAAAGCCCAAATTGAATTCTATTTTTAATATTAAGAACAAACTACTTTAAATTACTCAATTATCCAAATAACACAACCAATAAGAATTAATTAGAACAGAATCAAACACAATATATCTATTAAGTACTTTATAAGAAAATTTAAGTAAAATAGATTTAAGTAATGTTATTCTATCTGATACAAAATTGAATAATCTTACTTTTTTTAATTCTAATTTAAACAATACTAAATTCAAGAATATATCAATAGAATCATGCAATTTTAATTGCGCAACAATTGAAGATTCTTAATGGGAAAATATAATTTGTAAAGAAAAATAAACATTAATTGGTCATAAAAAATTAATAACCAGTTTATTTTTCTCAAAAGATGGAAAGGAATTAATATCAGGGAGTGAAGATGGTACAATTCATATTTGGAAAGTATAAGGGGATGAAAAAACAAAAACTTTTTAATTTCCAAAAGATTAAGAAATCATTTCTGCTTCATATTCTGAAGAATAAAATATTCTTGGCATGTTTAACTACATAATCCATCTAACTATTAAAATTAGATGACCCTTTTGTCTTGGAGAAATTAGTTCCTCTATAAAATTATAAATATTTAAACATTAAAATATCTCATGATGGACAATATATTGCTGCATAAAATAATGACTCTGCCAATTTTATATGGAAAAGAGAAGCCTTACAAATAAATCCCAACTCCTAAAATTATTAATTAAAATTTTCATCAACAATAAGGTGCACTTAAGTTTCACATAATTCTAAATTATTAGCTATATGTGGTTCAGATATCGTAATTTTATCAATTAGAGGATTTAAAGATTATCAAGAAATTACAAAATTACTATTTAAACCTTATTCATTAGCGTTTTCTAATGATGATTAAGTATTAGCTGCATAGGTAGATCAAGATATAATTAATTTTTGGAGTTTGAAAAAAATCAATAATGTTGAGCTTCTGATATCAATATCAGTAAAAGGTACTGTTAATAAACTGCTGTATTCTTATGATAATAAATATTTGCTTTGCAGAACCAATTATAAAATTTACCTATATGAAACAACAAAGGAATAGTATGCATTAGAAAGTGGTAAAAAATAAGTTTTTCTGAATTTGCAAACCCTTATTTTGATCTTGTAAAGAATTCTAATTATATTGCAATTTGTACTCCTTATGGGACCCTTATAAAATAATTAGACAATAATTAAACAATACAAACATTGGAGGAGTAATAGACCTGTCATTCAGTTTTATATAATTAATTGGATGATTTATTGATAATTGGTTTAAATAATAAACTCACTGTTTACGATATGTCAGGGTTTGGGGTTGGGGTTGGGGTTGGGGTTG